GGTTTAACTTCATTTAATTTATAATAAAGCATGCATTATTACGAATCATTCAATTTCTGAATATATTTTCCTGTGATAGGAGGGGGGGGGGTGTAATAAAACATGCATATTAACACTCTCATAAAAATAATTTAAGAGAAACGTCTGAAACAGATTGATATCTTTATGATTAATTATTATCAAATAAATACTGTGTATTGGCTTTATTAGACCTAATATAATTTGATTTAAAGTTATTCATAATTTTATGCACAATGAATGAAAACATACCCCACGCTCCCCCAAAAGTCGAAGTGCTGAAATTCCCAGAAAAAAATAAAGGAATCGTTATTTCCTTGTTATATGCACATGTATGCACATTGTGTCCTAAATATCTGCAAAGTTTGACGAAATTGTGTGCAGCGGTTTATGAGGAATTGCGCTGACAAACTGCTCATCTTTATAATCAAGACATGGCCAAAATCTAAATGTAAAAGTGCGGAAATTCCCGAAAAAATGAATTCGGAATTTCCTGGTGATGTGCAAACTAGACACACATTGACTCCTATAAATATCTCGAAAGTTCGACAAAACTCTGTGCAGTGGTTTATAAGAAGTTGCGCTGACCAAAAAAAAAAAAAAAAGGACTGACTGATGGATCCAAAACATTATACCTCACGCAACTTGTTGCGAGGGGTATAATAAACGAGTTTGATTCTGTGGTAAAATGATAATGAAAATAGAATTTAATGTAAATTAAATATTTAGACATAAATAATTAATGATTACTAGAAAAAGCAGATAGAAAGAGAGAGCAAACCCCCCCGTGAGAATTCCACATTTTACCTACAATTAGCTTTTTAAAAATTCTCTTGTCTGTTGTCCAGGTCCAGGTTCGACTCGTACGTTTGAGCATAGGTGACGTGTCGGAACCAGGGGGGTGACTTTTTTATAAATATATACTTAGTATAGACATTGAGCATTGCTGCGTAGGTTTAGCCCCCCCCCCACTTTCCACAGACAAGTCGAAGTATAGGTTAAAAAAGAGGAAAGTGTTGGTGTTTGGAGAAAAATTTTGTTACTGAAGTTCGAACCTACCCCCCCCCCCTTTCCCCCACACGAAATAGGATATTCGTGTTCTGGAAAAGGACATTTCCCCTTTTTTTAAGCTTGTCAGATTTTTTGAATGTATAAAAAAAAAATAGCCCCCCCTACTTTCAATTTGCTTCCGAGGCCAATGCGTTTGAGAAGGTATTTGAGAAAGTTTCCAATGTACCCATTCCTGTGATGTATATTTCACGTTTATTATATCCCCGGATAAAGTTATGTCCGTCCGTCTGTCTGTTACGCTTTGGGGTACCCATCTCTTATCCGCAAATCCTCTTATACCACTAAGTGAAATTTAATAAAACTTTCACAGAATCTTAGGTTTATTACATATAACCATTGTGCACCTCCTATTTTACTTTTTGTTCCGACATTATTTTGGGTTTAGTGACAACAGCAAAATATGGACTTTGCCATTATAACCATATGGGAGGCGGGGGTATCATTTAGTGAGCTCATTGCTCACAATACCTCTAGTTTCTCTTTCAATTTGGCCGTTTGGATTAACTTCTTGTCCAAATTAAAATTATTATTCAATTTATGAAATTTCGACATCTCGCCTGAAAAAAATCCTTGATCTGTCCTAAGGCTTAATAAATGGTACAGCACAAAGTGCGTAGGATCTTATACCTATTATTGCCCGAAGGGATGGTTACAGAGAGAGAGAGAGAGAGAGAGAGAGAGAGAGAGAGAGAGAGAGAGTTCAGTATACAAAAGAGTAAATAAAAATTATCCGTATTCAACCAGTGTCAAGAATCCCTACCCTAGCTTTTAAAATTATCTCCCAAATACTCCTACAGAAATTATTTTTATATAAAAAAAAATAGCTAGACTATCAGGCAGGGATACTGAAATCTCGAAAGACTCTATAACAACATAATTATAAAACATTTATACATTCCTCAAAATGCACACACTTTGTGGTCGGAGTGACACATTTAAAAAAAAAATTCATAATTGAATTCGGCAGAGATGTCTGTCTTCCAAGAATATTTAGATAACGGTCATGTCAATAATTTTTGCATGCACGCTCCCCTCCCCTCCCCAGCCTAAAAAATCAAATGCCTAAATGTCAATCTGAACAGGGGATGGCATTTCTTCGTGTGTTTGTGTGTTAAAGAACGTATAGATCTAGGTACACATAAAAAATTGTATTCTGGTTAACTGCTTTTAAGATTTGAAGTAAATAATTACCGTACATCAAATTACTTGGTTTAGATTTGAGATTAGTACTAAAATAATCAGTTATAATTGACAAATGAATTTTGCGACGCGAACCAACTGCAGACTATATACACGACTTTGTATAGAATGTATATTAGAATGTAGATAGACAATTTACAATTATAGCACAATTATACCCCCCCCCCTTTCAGCCGCGCAAATACCAAATAACTTCTCTTTCCACTTGTGATATTTTCCCTGACCAAAATCTGATCAGCACGGACTATAAGTGTATCGACGTGCTAGTCTGTACGGAGTAATGACAGTGTGTTTACTATTGAGCTTTTGTGGAGTTTATTTCTTTTTTGTGATACATATTTCAATAAATGGAATTCAGGGTGTATATCACTTGACTTGTGCACATCTTCGAACCGATGCAGTAACCTTATTACCAGGTATGGGTTATTGGGTACGTTTACAGCGTTCGAGGCGTTTTCTCGATATGCACCAATTGCATAGGGGCTGCAAATCAAAGACGTTGTTGTTTTGTTCCATTCAAATGATATAATTCCAAAATGTGTTTGCAGATTTTATTGCTTTTTATTTCAAGTTTATTCTGCATAAATTGGCGCACTGTAAAAATACGCACTCGTGCATCTAAATTTCTCACCAAACTCGCATTTTTTTCTTTTGATTCAAATCAATAATTATTCAGAAATATGATTATTGTGTTGTTTACTGTGGTTTTGAAATGTCTTGATCAACTCATGTGTTCTCATATGCTTTACCATCGGAGATGTGCACAAGTCGATACCTAAACCAAAAAATCATTCAAGTGTAACGAGCGCATTGGGGTATATATCGTTACAATGAGAAAAGGTATCTGAAAGAAATATGGCGGAATAGAATACGGCTATAGTTGGTATGAAACAAGTCGTACATAAATGAACATGTTGCGTTTTTAAGAATTCATGTCAGCTTTAAAGAATGAGTACTAGCAATTATATTTTCCTTTAAAATAGGTTATAAATTCCTGTCAAATGTATATTAACAAGTTGTGTACTCTTGTGTGCTGAATTGAATTCTCCATCATAATGAGTTTATTTTACAATGCAAATAATGTCCTAAACAACAATATTTCAAACAGACAACAAAAGTTGAAAATCAACATTACCTCCGCAGTTTGGCACTAAACCTTGTCGTTTGTCTGAAATTCAAAGAGACAAATTGAAAAGATTAAAATGAATATCTATGGAAGCCCCTTTCTCAGGTTTTGAAAATTAAGGTATATACATGTACATGTAGTAATCGGGATGTCCGTCTATCCGTCTAGCTGTCTGTAGGTCCGTCTGTAACGCTTTTGGGTGCCTTTCTCTAATCCGCAATTCCTCTTTTATCACCGAATGAAATGTAATGAGACTTTCACAGAATCTTTGTTACATATGAGGCGCCTATTTGAATAGGTGATATCATTTATTTGATTAGGTGATATCACCTATTTGAATTGGTGATATCACCTATTCATTTTCAATAGGTGATATCACCTATTCGAAAAGGTGATATCACTTATTCGAATTGGTGATATCACCTATTCGAATTGGTGATATCACTTATTGGAAATGAATAGGTGATATCACCTATTCGTACTGAATTTGAATAGGTCGTATCACTTATTCGAATAAGTGATATCACCTACTCGAAAGGAAAAGGTGATATCACCTTTTCGAATTAGTGATATCACTTATTCGAATAAGTGATATCACCTTTTCGAATAGGTCATATTCACCAATTCAAATCAAATAGGGGATATCACCTATTTGAATAGGTGATATCACTTATTCGAATAAGTAATATCACCTTTTCGAATAGGTGATATCACCAATTTAAATCAAATAGGTGATATCACTTATTTGAATAGGTGATATCACTTAATCGAATAGGTGATATCACTTTTTGGCAGTAAATACTAAAACGGCGCCCCATAGTTAAACATTGCCTTTGTGCACCTCCTATTTTACTTTTTTGATCGGGCACATACATGCATCATAGGCGTCGAAACCGGGGGGGGGATGTATAAAAAAATTTTCTATACACTTAGCCCCCCCCCCCCACTTTCAATTTGCTTCCGAGGCCAATGTGCATTATGGGTTTCCTAATGCTAAACATTGGACACTGCCGTTTTTCTATAGTATTGGATGGTATTAATCTCTTACCCGCAAATTACCCTTATATACGCCACTGAGTAAAACTTAATGATACTTTCAAAGATTCATCATTACATTATGCCATTGTTTACCAGTTCACCAGTTTATTAATATCTTTTTGGTTGCTGTTTAACAACATAGAGATCAATGCAACATATTACAACACATATACATACATGCGTGAGCAGAACATATACAAAGTGTCTTCATAATCACGTACTGTGCACCTCCAATTTTACTTCTTGACCCGACTCTTATTTCGGGTCTCCAAAAGAAAAACAGGGATTTCGTCATTATTATCTACGGAAGCCCGTTGGTGCCACGTACGAAAAATATTTTATCTGGCGGTCGCAAGATATTAAGTGGCGGCCGCAACTTATTATTTGGCGGCCGCCACTTACATATCTGGCGGTCGCCACTTATTATTTGGCGGCCGCCACATAAATTATTTTGTGAAATGTGAGTGTTATTGTGTCTTTATTGGGTTAAGATATGATGGATGTTGACACAGCCGCTGCATATTGATAAAAAAGTTAATGATAAAAAAGAATCCTTAAATATTGGAACACCATTATTGGAAATCCAGAATGCAAAACTTTATTTAATTCTCGAATCAAATATTAATCTGCTCTATGCAAAAACATATCTACTAGAAGTGTGGTTTGGAGTGTCGGGTCCTAAAAATCTCTTATAAGTTTGATTGATTTTCACACTGTATCCACCTCTGAAATCGCACGTACGTTAAAACATGCGCGCGCATCAGGTAGCCAAATGTTATCTGGCGGAAGTATGTGGCGGCCTCCAGATGAATTATGTGGCGGCCGCCAAATATTATGTAGCTGCCGCTAGATAAATTATGTGGCGGCCGCCAAATATTATGTAGCGGCCGCCAGATAAATATGTGGCGGCCGCCAGATGTTATATAGCGGCCGCCAGTTAGATATTTGGCGGCCGCCATATAAATAATGTGGCGGCTGCCATATAATTTTTTTGGCGGCCGCCAGATATATAAGTGGCGGTCGCCAAATAATAAGTGGCGGTCGCCACATAATTATCTGGCGGCCGCCAGATATATAAGTGGCGGTAGCCAAATAATAAGTGGCGGCCGCCAAATAAAATATTTTTCGTACGTGGCACCAACGGGCTTCCGTAATTATCATATGGTGGGTGGTATAATTTAGTGAGGTCTTTGCTCGCAGTACCTCTAGTTTTATTTAAAACGCAAAATAAGTCAAGTCGGGTGCCTATGCAAATACCGTAGTGATCATGTATACCCCTCATATTTCTTCAAAATACATTTTTAATCAGATACACATGTACACTGTATATAACTAATAGATACACTGTATGTCACGAAACATGAATAAAGTAACCATTGTGAATTTTCATGTTTAATAATTTACGGTTTTATAAACGTTGAAAAAAAACTGGTTATATCCAATTTAAATCAAAGGAATAATCTAAGAATCTTGTAAAACATGTATCGCATTATATGTCTCTGATCCGAATCCAAACACGAGCATTAAATGCACATAGGTGTTGTAGAAGAAGGCAATCGGTACCTGGAAGGGGGAGGGGGGGGGGTGCCCCACGTTTTCCTGGATAAACAGGGAAAGGAGTCGGTCGCTTCCGACTTTTTTGACAAGAAAAAAAATCTGAAACAATTATATACAGAAAAGAATTTCAATATACTGCAACAGTACAGTGGGTGAGGGGACAACAGGTCTGTCAAAAAATATTCTATTTTATGAAGAAAACATGAATACTGCAACAAAACATGGAGAAATTAAAGAGAGATGAACAACCGTATGTATATTTTGAAAATATATTAAGATAAAGTTACATGTACATATTAGTTCCACGTGTACAACACACAACTTATACAAGAAGTAAATTAATCACGTTAAAAAAATCAATTACCTGGAAATTCAAAGCTAAATTTACACAAATTAATTAAAGAATAAGCCACCAGTAGACCCCTCATGTTGTATAGGCCAGTCTCTTTTAGATCGTCTCGTCCTGTCTGTGCCCTTGATAACCTTAGTACTATAGTAACGCACTAGTCATAATGTTACAAGATAAAGAGTTCTCTCTCTATTGCAAATGGTTTGACTTCTAGGTCACCGTCTCTCTTTGTTTTATTTCATGGTGTAGAAAATTTAGACGACAGTACGCATTTGTCACATTGTAGGCGTACATTGCAACCCCTTTTTTTACAAAAGTCTGAAGCGCCTTAAACATGTTTAGCACGACTATTTTATTATATGAAAAAATACTTTAAAATTTTTTTGACATTCAATGTTAAATAAAAGCCACTGGGGAAACGGACACCTGAGAACAGGCATTTTTCATATGCCCTTAATAGGCCCAAAATCGGAAATAAAGAAATTACTCATTGACTTACTTTCTCGAGAAATAGACAATTTCTATCTTCACGTGTCCATTTGACTCGCACACTATCAGTAATATTTATATACATGTAATCTGTTTGAATCCAATAATTGATGCAGTGAGCAGAGTATGAAGTTTTCTTAACACTATTTTCCCTTTGAAATTCCTTAATTTTTAAGTACATACATTGTATAATAAACAACATTGGTCAAAACAAAAGTACTAGAAAAATAATTATTTATTCAATATTTAAATAGCACAATATAAAAAAAGAAAATGTATAGAAAATTAAATGTTCAAGCAATTTAACAGAGTCGCTTTACTATTTCATATACTGTCTCTATACACGTCACTGGAGCGTCATCAGCTGATACCCCGGCGTGTAGGACATGTGCATAGGATTAACAGGCAGCATGGGTTGCGGAGGATTATAGTGGCGGAAGTAGGGCTGCTGGTATTCTGGAAGGTATTGTGGGTAAAATGCGGGATATGTTGAGGTATACTCTGGCATCCTGGGACGATGGGCTAACGGGTATGGTGGTGATGATGTCACCAAGGCAGTTGGAGGACTGGGTGATGAAGAAACTCCAGAGGAAAAAGATGAATTACTGTCGTCAGGAAGATTTGGCCTCAAATTCGGCAAATAGTGGATGCTGTAAAAAGAAATTGTAATATTAAATCTTCGGTGTATGCATATAAAAGATTGCTGTGACTTCATGAAAATTTTTGCGTTCGATACGTAAGGTATATATTAATTTATAAGATAGAACTTTTGCTCACTTTTTGGAAGGTAAACACTCGGGTTGCAGTCTGCTCTCCCCATTAAATTCTGCTGGACCACACGAGATGACATGAGAGCTCCTGTCTGTCGTCGGAGTTTGTTCCGGTGTCCCCGTATAAAACTGCTTCCTCATCCAGTTCATCTGAACGCTCTTTGATTCTCGCTTGAATTTAGCCCGCCTGTTTTGGAACCATATCTGTAAAATTATTTAGATCCTGTTACGTAAATAGACATATATATACATGTAGGGTCTATCATAAAAATCTTCACTGAAACTCGCCAAATTTTGCTTCATATCCAGAAGACAGAAACCGTTCAAAATCCATTTTGTTTATTTTTTTTTTCAATATGAAGCATGAATTTGTCAAGAAAGTATTTTTAATTTTTGATTGAAAAGTAGTATTACATTTTACTATGTTTGTCTTATTCTTGTGAATGAAATTGTTAGTTTTCCTAAAGTAATACTTGAGCTTATACATTTAGGATCTAAATTTGTTTTGATATATAAGCTCCCCTTTGGAATATTGAGTTATACCACAGGCACCTGACGTTACTTATTTTTCTTTTAATAAAAAAAAGTATACCCATGCCTAATAATAAACGTTTATTATTAGGTATGGGTATATTTTTTTATTAAAAGAAATATAGGTAATGTCTGGTGCCAATCAGTCAATCAATCATTTATTTGAATCTCTTCACTATTTTACAATATATACAGAGATTACATATAGGTGATTTTATAACAGTAGGTCTAAGATGCATGCGTGAATTAGAAACTAAACAAAAACAAAAACAAATGTAGGTTGCAATAAATGTGAAGTATGGGAATTTAGGCCGGGGAGCATATTTTATTTATTTTCTTTATAAAGGAGCACAATTTTCTTAGACAGCAGTGTTTATTGTAATGCATAATATTTTTAAAACTAAATATATTCTGAAATTTTATGTGTTTTTCTGTTAAGCATAGTTTTCTTTCTGTTTGTGTGCCTGTGAGTTATACTTACCGCCACTCTTTCTGCGGACACGCCCACTTTCTCGGCCAGCTGTTCGATGCTCTCAGAATCCGGGTACTGGTGTGTCAGAAACGACTCCTCCAACGCCTCAATCTGAAGGAAATAATTATTCTTATAATAAAGCCATTAATGCCTTAAATAGAGATGAAATTTTAATTATAATCATACAATTTTATTTAAACTTGTGATATTTTACATGTACAAACTTATGAAATACGCGTACGTATATTCTATCTTATTTTTTTTCTACGAAGTATCAATTTTATTTAACGACTTCAAATATCCTATCTTTAACTATGTTTTGCAGTTTTTGAATTAACATTATTTTATATTCATGGTTTATAAAATGAGTTTTGTTTCATTTCATACCTGATCGGGTCGGTACTTGATTCGGGAACGTGTTGGAACTTTCTTAGCTTCAGAGACACCCATTTTGTTCTTTACAGCAATTTAACCTAAATGAAAAATGAAATGGTTACAGAAATATGCAGGCTTTTTTAAAAATTGTGTCACTTGCTCTCAGTCTGTCGATGAATTATAATTTTAAGTTTTCAGAGAAGGAAATTTTTTCATTTAATTAATTCTTTTTCTATCTATTACATGTAACTGATTTGAAGTTAGGAGAAATAATGTAAAATAAAGCAGAAGGTTAAACTTTAAGAATTCTAAAATTAAATAAATAAATAATAAAAATAAAATATTACATTTATTTAATTATACCTTAATTCTAGCAAAAGCTTGTCCGAATATACAGTGAAATCTTGTTACAGATATATTTTTTCCAATATTCTGAAATAAAAAATAAATTTTCCCTTTTTATAGTAAGCTAAGTGTATAACTTACCTTTGATCTCCCGCTGGGTTAAAGTGAGGATTCTGTAAGTGAATTTTGTGAGAGGAAAACTAGATAGATAATTAACAAGTTAATTAGTATAATTACTGTTGTACGTTACGTGAGGGGGAGATATTCACCGGCGGGGTGTCTGATCTTACCAATACACGTGTAGGGTGTTGTTTTAAGTCCACGCGCAACAGGAGGCGATTTTAATTACAAATACTTATCAATTATATATATTGAAGATAATTGGAGGTGATAATTGTTTGATTAATTCAATTTAACATGTGTCACAAAAAATAGCTACATGTAAAAATAATGTGATGAACAAATTCTATCCAATTATATGTAGACCAAGTTGAACGTTGATAAAAATAAATGAATAAAGATTTCATTTCGCTTTTTAAGTATCGATGTAATACATGTAAATTTGTGTCAAGACCTTTTCTTTAACCTTTCATGTTAACGATAAGCGTTTATTATTTTTTTAATTATTACATACATAAATATTCCTTATTTTATGGATAATAGATAGTATACTGTATGTGTACCTTTTAAAAGTAGGAAAATTGTATATACAGAATAAACCACATCTTTATCTTTGAAAAAATTATTTGAATCCCCTCTCCTTTCTTTTATAAAATCATATGTATTTAATAAGTATATTCATATAAATACACATTCTATATTACAACCAATCTTCGTGATAATTATTAGTTGATTAATTTTTATCAATGAGCGATCAAAGCGAATGAGTAAGTCCGATACAAAGAGAGTATGTAGGCAGTTCCCACGTCAATGGCGCGCCTGCGGACATGGTCATCAATTTCTGATGGATCATCAGTACAGGAAACAAATCAACTTGTTTTTTATCCCCTATAGATAGTGTAAATCTGTCTCCTTTATTATTAGTTTTGTTTTCACATGTGCATTAAGTGGATATTGGATTTCGTTTTCACGTAGTATATTCTTGATTTTTTGGATTAATATGGGAACTTGTGCGAAATTTGAAAACGACACTGGTAAGTCTTTAACAGGGACGTAAATGTAATATCGTTTTGGAAAAAAAGGGGGGATTAAACTATAACCATAAAAAATGGCAAGCTTTAACACATTTTAAAGGTTCGAAAAAATCAACTTGCAGAAAAAACTTAACAAAGAAAAAAGACGGGTTGTTGAAACTGGAAAATCCTCTTTTGTGTCGGGAGATGGTGGGAGGGGGGAGAATAACTTCTTGCAGTACCAAATTTTATTCATACAACTTCTACATAATACTGCATATTACAGGTTATAAAAATGTTAGAAAATGTTGAAGTTTACACTGTACATACGTGCTTATTGAATATCAAGAGACAAATTTTAAATATTTCGTTTTAGTGTAATGAAATGCACACGAAATTACTTTTTTAATTTAGACTTCATGTATCTGTACCTTCACGAGAAGCATACAATGAAAAGTATCTACATGATTATGAAACCTTGTAATAATTTGAAAAATTTACAGTCATGTAAATAAACTATATTTTGAAAAATTACAGGATGAACATATTGTATTGATGTTAAATAGAAACCTTTATGTAACATTATAATCAGAAGCTATACAACTGTATATTTAAAAGTAACAGGCAATATACATATAATTGTAACTTTAGGGTACAACCCCCCCCTTCCCAATGCATATCGATAAAAGATATGTAGTGTAATTTCCGAGTGTACATGTAGTTAGTCAGGGATTATTTTGAAAAGAGGGGAGCTAGGTTCATGTATCAATAGAAAAATCAAAATACATTGTATCTTACTAAAGTCTTACTAGATATATATTAAAGACAATCAAGACATTGTATGCAGAATAGATCCACATTCTAAGCGTATTCTAAATATTTAGATGTCTTTATTTTTTTTTTTAAATATGAAATGACGATGTAATTGTTGATAGTAAAAGTTGTTGAAATTCACAGGTACATGTACTAGGTGACCGGATCCAAAATATACATTTGTAGCCTCAAACTGCATGAAAGAATTGGATACTAAAACTGTTCTGGTATCCGAGAGTATGATTTTAATTTTATAAAAGACTAGTTTAGGCACAGGCACCTGACGTTACTTATATTTCTTTTATTAAGAAAATATACTCTTAATTATTATAGGTTGGGGTATATTTTTTTATTAAAAGAAAAATAAGTAACGTCAAGTGTCTGTGAGTTTAGGTTATATTCTCAATTTTCCAGTACTTTGTGATTGTTTCATACATGTAGAAAAATCGTCAAAGAACGGACTTTGGGGGGGGGGGGGTCCTCCCCCAAGCACCTGTGCTGAAATTCAGCAATGTAATGATTTTATTTTAAAGTACTATATTTTTCACTAGTATATATATGTTACACCTGTATTTTTCCCCTATAGATTACACGTGTCGACTGGTGGACTGTGACGGAGAAGTCTCGCAGTGGAGTACGGACGACCTGAAGCAGTACTGCATCCTTAAGGACGCCTCACACATTTCCTGTCTGGATGTATCCCTCCTGTACCGCGTCATCGCCTGTAACGTACCCGGATCATACGGGTACTCCAACGATATATTTCCCGCGGCAATCTGGGTCCGCAACGATTGTTATGCACAATTCCAAGTTTGTTATAAAACAGGTACATGTATACATATATTAGTAATTCTTTTGAGTTTTCAATGGGCATTACATCCATATTCACAGAACTGTTGAAACGTAATACAATAATACATCAAATTCATAGTAGGGTAAACCATCCTGCCTAAAAATTAAATTTAAAATGAAATTAAAAAAGGGAGGTAGGAGGGGGGCTGACTAGCTTTTCTGCGAAAATTTCGGTACTATTTTTCTCTGGTAAAAGTGTGCGTCATGGTGTAAGGGTGTGTGTGTGGGGGGGGGGGGGGGTATTACATCTGCTTTGTACTAAGTGTCTAATTTTTAGCATTGTTTTAAGAGAAAAAGAGGCACCAACAGTATAAATATGAATTCATGTAACATTTTTCGCCCTCACTAAGTTTTAAATACATATACAGGTTTATCCCTGTCCACACCTGTACACTGCGTCCGATGATTGCCTATTATGTTTATGACCACTATAGGTGACAGTTTTATTGTATCTACATAACACAGATCGGTAGAGTACAAAATGTCCAGTGTCATCTCAAATAGACAACCCAACCCACGTACAGACGTATTATCTTAGGAATTTTTGCCTCAAAGACGTACGTCGGACCTCTGTGCAGACATATCTTTAGTTCATTTTTTGTCAAAATAGGAAGTACATGTACATGTATATTATAAGAGAGTGCACTATACTTCTATGTAAAATGATGGTTCATGTCATTTCAAATTTGTTTTTGGCATAAAAAAAACCTACAGTAAGAATCGTAATCGTTTGAATTATTCAATTACTGACCAAAATAAATTTTATAAAATAAATAAGAAAAAAGTATATTTAAAAAAAGATAATTTTTAGCTCTACTGGTCAGAGACCAGAAGAGCTTATGCGATAGTAATGTGTCCGTCGTCCGTCCGTCTGTCTGTCTGTCTGTCTGTCCGTCTGTATACAATTTTTCAAAATGCTACTCCTCCTACAGTTTTAATCTGATTTCAATATAACTTGGCACACAAGTAGACTACAGTAAAATACATAATTCTGTGTGTCGGTTTTTGATTTCGATGAACGGTGTTGTCGTTGTTACTAAAAATAGAAATTTTTGTGAAAATCATTCAAAATGCTACTCCTCCGACATTTTTGGTCTGATTTCAATATAACTTGGCAAACAAGTAGACTACACTAAAAAACATAATTCTGTTTATCGGTTTTTGATTTCCATGAACGGTGTTGTCGTTGTTACTAAAAATAGAATTTTTTGTGAAAATCATTCAAAATGCTACTCCTCCTACAGTTTTGGTCTGATTTCAGTATAACTTGGCACACAAGTAAACTACACTAAGATACATAATTCTGTATATCGGTTTTTAATTTCCATGAACGGTGTTGTCGTTGTTACTAAAAATAGAAATTTTTGTGGAAATTATTCAAAATGCTACTCCTCCTGCAGTTTTGGTCTGATTTCAATATAACTTGGCACACAAGTAGACTACACTAATGTACATAATTCTGTGTATCGGTTTTTGTCTTTTTTCTTTTTATTGCTTTTGTAAAGTTTTATATCCCTACTGCTTCTTTTCTCTTTCTTTATTATAAATACAAACCAGTAGAGCTTCAGTCTCGACAGAGACTTCTGGTTATATTAAAATCAGCTTATTAAGTGTATGGAATGTCATACTTGACACCGCTTCAACGATATTTTTCCAGTTGGTATACATTTCTTTCCAGGATATACGTGAATGATACGTGTATACGTATACGTGCATGTATTTTATTTTAATGCGAGGCCTTTAATTTTATGTACAGTATTTGTAAAGCTCCAAAATGAAAAAAAGTTGCTGCATAATATGCTGAATAATATAAAAAGCTTTATCCTTTCTAGATAATATGAAGAAAATAAGTAACAACCTGAACAACCCATGGTCCAGCGTTCTCATGAATAACACAAACGAGACCCAAAACCTGTACGGGAACATTACCAATAACCAGTCCACACCGTACAACAAATTCTCAAAGATCCGATACTCCACAAACTTTCCCATTATTCCCAGACCGCCGAGACAAAAACCATGGAAATCTAAAATCAGAAGAAAGCCATCAAGTTCCGAAAATTCCGACAATGAACCGTCAGAAAATGTCCTTGCGGTTTCTAAACTGGCCGAAACAACAACAAAATCCGCTCAAGTCAGCAACACAACAGTGAATTCACCCAAAGAGACAACAAAAACGAACTTAAAAACAACAAAGCCAACCTCTCCTTCTACCAGAACGGAAACCACATCTGTTAACCCGAGGCCAAAGTCGGAGGCAAACAATACTCTAAAGGAGAAAAACCTATATTTCATGAACAGCGGTGTGATTCATGCTGGGGAAATCGACATTGACGTCAACGGAAGAATCAAACATCATCACCTGTCTAACGACACGGCGGACGAGTATGAGATCAGCACGCCCCACGGTGGATCCCCGCTGTCTGGGTCCGAGTTCCTGTTTGGAGCTGTTTTGGGGATTGCTTTCCTTGCGTTGGTTCTGCTAGGCATAGTTCTATTTATATGCAGAGCGAAGATTAAAAGGTACCGTACCTGTATGTAGATTAAGAATCAAAGTTCACAGCCATATATATATGTACATGCACCATTTTACCTGTACTTCATATGAAAGTATTTATAGATCGTATATGTACAATGCAAAAAGGTAAATATTACACAAATTTTTTTGTTTAGAGAAATTTGTTGTTTACTAGTAATTTTTAAATTCATTTTTTTTTCTTATAATGATGCCCTTTTGATTTTAAATAGCTAAAGAAACATACAATATGTAGATATCGAATTCAGAATAATCTTTATAGAACCAACCATCACATTCAGTGCCGCGTCGTTTGTCTGGAGTTTTAGACCCGCTTTTTGCGATATTTATGCGTACACTCCTTTCTTTTAGATGCGTCCACGGAGAAAAAGAAAACACAGAAACTCCGGTACAGACAAGAGATGGAGTAAGTACTAGTATACGGACGTTAGTTGTTATCATGTGTCATTCTGACATTTTTTCGTCGCAAACAACTCACATATCAAAGAAAGTTCTTTATTTCTTTCTGCTTTTTAATATTTGAAAAAAGCATACTTAATGTTCCTTATTTTATATTTACATAATGTACTGAACTACTTGACTAAATGAACACAAAACAATTTGCAGGACATCTCTTTCATCAGTGGACCTCTCACGGCGGAATATCCGGGTCACAGACCAAGAGCTAATGCTAATGTAGGAACGGTAATCCGGAGTACGAATCCTCTCCATAACCAGTTCAACCAAGTAAATCCAGGATTCAATCAACCATTACCGAATAACCAATACTTCATTTTACAACCAGAAAACCAATCGAACGCTCCCCGCCATCACAGACATTTACACCAAACAGGCTCTGAGTATGACGACGAGGGTTCACATAAATACTTTGTTTTGGAGAATTTCCCTTCAGAACTTTGTTGCCCTAAGGATAAAGACGATTATGACAATGCCGTCCCCCACCCCTGTTTTGGAGGAGGCGCGTGCTCATTGCCTGACAAACACCCCCGAGAAAACAATTCAGTCAATTCCGACGGTGAGCTGGGAGCTGCGGGCTATCGTAGAATAGGAGATACCAAGAGGCGGGGTCATGAACATAGAGTGTCTCACGTTTGAAATCTTACCGAACTGGATTTGTGATATAATGTGCCAAAGAAATATGTGCTGGATTTTTTTAAATTCAAAGTTGACTACTTACATTGACATTTTTGTTTTGTCTACCTCTTTTTAAATGATTTGATACTGTATCTCTTTGCATTTTTATAAAAAAGCAAACGTCAATAAGAATGAAAAAGTTTGTTTAAGAGAGAGATATATAAGATGTTCCTTTATTTTTTATTAAGAGAGAGAGAGAGAGAGAGAGAGAGAGAGAGAGAGAGAGAGAGAGAGAGATCAGATGTACATTTTTCATTACAAGTATTTTTTCATTGAAAGTGCCAGTTGAGATAAAAGAAGCGAGAAGAATTTAAACATATACATATAATGTGTCTAAATTATGTAAAATACATAATTTGGAAGACAACCGCATGTTTAAAATACAGAGCACATAATCAAACAAGCATCCTATCTTTAAATTTAAATTTCTTGTTTATGTTTTTCAAGATACCAACGTTTGCCATATCTTCCAAGAAATACAGTTTTCATGTAAATTGTCATAATAATAATTTTCCTCTGACAAAATTAAAAATTTGATTATCTCGGATGATGGAAAAGATAAAAAATTATTACAAATTCCCAATTAAAACTGCCATATATGGACTTATTCGCAATATATACATACATAAACATGCATTATATTTGATTATATTAGCATGTAAACGTAGTTTTAAGCCCATTATATAGAGCATTTTTTAAAAATTATTATTACAGATGGTGAATATATACAGAAAGAAATCACTCACATAGATACATGTATATATACTGCCACGAGAACATTACAAATCTCAAGAGAAATGTAAATAAATATGGATAACATACTAGTATATAAGATGACATGAACCCGTGCTCTTAAATATTAAAATACAGTATTTCCACATGCAGTTTTACTTTTTCCAGAATTGTGTTATGGAATGAAACAATCATAATGAAAAAAAAATGTTCCAAGATTTCTCTATCTTGGGTTCCTTACACAACATCACAATGCTTCAGTGTTTGATGTTTTTCAGCTTAGTTTCTATTCCGATTTCCAATTCTCATCAATATCAATTTGGAGGGAAATGTATTTTTTAGTCCATGAAATGAATTGAATGAATGACACTGATGAAACCATTAAATGGTCAACACTTTATCGATACTTATTATACATTAAAGATGAGGCCAAATAAAATGTCACAGAGAAACACCGAATACTCCAATGATTATATTCAGAATCAAAGTACCAAATATAAGTCCGACCACAATATTGTTCATCAAGTTTGATCTTTTATCCTTTTCCAAATTCCCCTCCGTGGTCCCCAGGAACAATAGTATGAATCCGATGACGATCTGTACTAATATAGACAGAATGAGGAGGACCAATAGGGGGTAGTAGTAGTTGTGAGACTCCCCCCGGTCCAGGAGGGCCTTCAGCTGGGAGGCATTGGCCACTAACAGACCCACGTCTAGCAGACCCTCCGCTACCGTCTTCTTCCGGGCGTAGGCCGACTTCTGGACAATGCTCTAAAAATAGAAACACAAGATTGACTTTTTTATTTGATTTCATTTCTTTTACCTTCATACCCGCGTGTTTACATTAAAATACCAATTTAGGACAAAATAATGATAAGATACACATTTACCGTATTTGACCTATTCAGTTTATTTTCTTTTTAATTAATAAGCAATATTTACTACACTGGACGAAGAGCAATCAGAAAGGCACCCCTATAGAGAACACCAACATCATTTAAAAGTAATTACCTGTTTATTACTTTTACTATTAAATATAAATAAAAAATTGAATTTTATCTATAATTATTACCTGTGCAGTGGAAGCATCTTTTCCTTCTTCAGCCATTTTCATATCCTTGCCCAACTCCCCTAAACAAGCCTAATATTCAGTTTGTAGAAGGGGTGAAATCATTTTCTATATTTCCAGTGTTTATATTTCCCGTTATTGATAGCAACACACGGGTAAAAACATACGTTAAACTGATAAGGAGAACAACTTACACGGTCCACCCAGTTAAAATTTACGATTTAGATAAGGCAGCTCATATCTATATCTGCTAAATCCATTGAACGTTGATTTATAATACAGGTTTCCACTAGAAATTTCCATTCACTGTCATTTTCATTGGTAAAATATTCATCTTCAAACATATGAAAACTGATTGACAATAGCGGACCGGTATTAATTGAAAACTCCATGAGATCACGTAAATATCTTGTGTGGTCAGGTCAGGCGAATACAACCAAAGTGTGTCTTTGTGTATACAGTTTCTAGTATTATGGACGTAATTTTATTACCTTTGTATCAGTCCGTGAAAGGGGCATTGGTTTCTGCATTCTCCGAAAGAATTGTGAACGCCTTCCTGTTTTGTACAAGAACTGAAAAACTTATACGTTTAAGACAATAGACACAATTTCTCTGCTTCACAAATTGTATACAAAATGTACCTTACCAACTGATAATATTTCAAGATATTCTTAGATGAAGATTATAGTGTCATCAGATGTTTATAGACAAAACATTAGCATGAATTACCGTGCGTGTTTGAAAGATACCTATTGAGGAAAATTCTTGGTTTAATAAAAAAAAATGTATAAATACTAAACAAATATTTTATATGTTTCTCTTACCAAAAATGATCTAGAATTCGAGAAATATACAACACAATATATAGACATTAAAATACCGGTACAGCACAAAGTTTCTTCAAGAATTGGAATTCTTCAAATCCACGGAAAAAGACAAAAAAATTCAAAGTACATCATGTAATATGTTCTTAAGTTTAAAGTCTCTCCACCAATACATTTTAAATGGTTGAAAATACAAAAAACTTCATTAATTTTCATTTGATATAGTTTTAATTTATCAATAATTGCAAAAAAGGTACAGATTGCCATATTATTGAAGATAGGATACATATATGTAAACAGAAGTATTAATTATGTCAACATAAAAAAATCGTACAGTTTTTGTAAACAGTATACAGGTGTAATAAAAATCATGCAAAAACTGGTTCAAATGCATATTTCAGATGCTCACAGTTCTCAAATACTTGCTACTCATAAGACACTTTTGAATTTTGAATATAAGGGAAACTATTTTTCTATTAGAAGTCATTAAAGAACGTATATAACATAGATGGAGTTATGCCCCTGTCAACAGTTGTTAAAGATTGAATATATAATTGATTAGAAAAAGAAAACATCTTTTATATTCTTTTACATAACAATATTCATCATCACACATATTGTAAAGCATTCTTCCAAAGATATTGTTCTATTGGGTATAAATTTAAATTAATATCAGTTTTTGCAAAAAACCTATGACATCATAGGAGGATGGAAATACACTGTACTTTTTAAAAGAGAAATACTGAGAGCACCTCCTAAAGTTAAAGCAATATGGTTGAATTAAAAAAAAAGACCACAAATATATTTATCAGCCTGCACTAAAATACAGGCAATTGGAATAAATATCTATGTCTCAGAATATGACTTTTGATAGCATCTAAATACACGCCAAATATATCATTGATATCTCAAATCACAAAAAGGCATGACCTCCAAAAAGAATGTTAAAAATAGAGGAGTGCAACATCTTTTTGTGAAATTTAAAAATTCAATATTTTTTGAAGATCTGTGAAAAATAATGGTTTATTTTGAAAATAAGGACTTTCCTGATGATATTCATGGCATCGATCTTTAATGAGAATCTACGCAGTTTCATGTGAATTTTTAAAAACCATTTTAATGTTTACAATTCCAAAATAAGGCATCATCTAATGATCAGCAAAACTTTTAACATTATTTGTTGATTACCAAACGAGATACAGGACTTGATATTCTTCATAATGTAAACAAGGCTCTTGTCCTGTGATTAACTACATATAGAAAATATCATTTTTAAACAAAATTGAATTCAGCAAATCACTAGAAACTTCTCATCTTATTTACGACTAACATCTGTATTGAAAGTATCTGCTTTGAACGAACATATAGAGCAGTATAAGTATATTAACCTTTGTAAGCAAAAACATGACACGGACCCTGTTAACATAACTAAGGTTTGGAGCTCTAAATCTGTATTGTATCTCGACAACAAAAGTTCAAATTTTCGAGGATCATTAGAATGACCTTTGTTAAATTTTTGAAATTTTTTTAGGTGAAACTGTGTCCATGTACTTTGAATTGTGAACTACAACAACCTTAGTTTGAACAAGTTGTGGTCATGGCTGATGTTGAAATCATGATATACCATGTCAGAAGTGCAACGGAAAAATGTTGTTTTGCCAAAAAACATAGATGTAAAAAAATCTGAAAGACATTCAAATAAAAGAAAATGAATTTTCAATGTGAAAAACAATAGTTGGTATACAATCTAAAATCTACAAATGTTATAGAAATCACAAGTAGCACAAAAAGCCTTATAATGAGAGTCAAGTATCTGTACATACCCAATAATGTCAGAAGTGTAACATATATATTTATAATTGGTATCGGAAACACGTGGTGTTGTTCGTTTACGTGTTTAGGTAGTATTTATAGTATCTAAGATTTGATTGGATTTTAACGATTGATATGAGTTCAAATGAAATCGTGCGGAACAGGTAGTTTACCTGTGTCCAGGTATTAAGAATTAGAGGTTATTCGAGGTTTCGCTGCGCTTAGTGCAACAGGTCCCCGCCGACCCACCCTACTTTATAATGTATATATCTGATATGATTTAATATTTTCGTTTTTTATTTTGTAGATTGTTGTTTCAAAGAAGAATATTTAGAATATTTGTAACATTTATGTGCAATAAATGTCTGTTGCACAGACGCAGGCGATGCCGTTCCTAAACATGTGTTGGAGTTTTGAATTTATAAATAATTTATGTTCGGTTGAACTGGTGAATTAGAACATAATTGAAGTTTTTCTCACAGGCATGATATATTTTTATTATCACTATATGATTCCTTGATTTGTTTTTTTTTTTTGGAAAATATAGACACAAAGAACATTTTCACGAAAAAGACATCAATTTTAGGGTTAGTATGTATTTTAGATGTATATTTTGTATGGTCAGGAGTTCAACACATTTTTCAAAGACTCAAGTTATATGATAGATAGACTTTAATTCATGTTAATCAAGAAATATTCTTGACATTCTTGATCAAAGAAATGAGCCATTTGAAAAATGAAGTACTACATTATTGACCGTTTTATTATCAAAATCATTCTCCTTTTCAATTTATATAATTTAGATGTTTTTATCTTTTCTTTAATTTTTCATGAATACAAACATTTAAACAAACAGAATTTTTGCATTACAATTATATTCTTTAAAGACCCCCATGCTCTTGGTCAGGAGTGCAACATCTGCTGATCAAATATTTATGAAAATAAAGAAAAAAAAAGATGAGCAAAATGTTTCAGATTGACAGTGTTTATCCAGTGAAGACAAAAATCTAAAAATATATTTTATCTTAAATTTCATGTCTATATTTTAGCTAGCTGTTTTGGAGTAAATAGGGAATCATTCAAAATACAAAGCCAAATTAGAACACATTAGAAAACTGTCGTGTCTTTTGATTTTGAAGTATTGGACAAAGCATATTGTGCAAAAGTCCGTCTGTACGTCCGTCCATCCATCCGTTACGCTTTGTGGTACTTATATCTTATCTGCAACATCTCTTGCAGCACTGAATGAAATTTAATGAATCTTTTACAGAATATTTGCTACAAAGTGATATTGTACACCTCCTATTTTACTTGTTGATCCGACATATATTTCGGGTTTCCCTTAGCAAAACATGGACACTGTCATTCTTTCTATAATATTGAACTGTACCAAGAAGGCTATGGAGATAACGAGCAGTATTCAATCTCGAAATCCATAAAAAGTTATTCGCAACTCCTCCTATACCAATGATTAAAATTTAATGATACTTTCACAGATTCTTCATTATGGAATGCTATTGTGACCTTCTACTAAACTTTTGATCCGAGACCTATTTCGGGTCTCCAATAGTAAGATATGAACATTGCCATTATAATTATATATAGGGCGAAGGTATCATTTAGAGAGCGCGCTCAGCGCTCACTGAATAGTGAATATCTATTTTTTTTAGAAGTAGGTCAAACTCCAAGGCCAAGATCAAGAGCTCAAATTTGGTGATACTCATTGAAAAATCTTGTCTCGAGAAAACACCCGTGAAACATATAACCCATATCCCAACCTACTCCATAGTTAAGTACTAGGTCAACGTTGACAACAGACAGACATAGAGACAAACAGACAGACAGACAAACAGACAGAGAGGACAAAAATATAATACACTCCAGGATTTTTCGATCTAGGGGCATAAAAAGGTATAGTGGCATATTTATGCCATCCACATAGTTTTTTGTCAACATAGCATATCATGTCAAATCAAGATAACTATCTCGTCAAGTCATGATTACTATCAGGTTTGTCGTCAAACACCGACTTTTATCTTGTACAGTCAAGATAAGCTATCGTATTTTTGCGGTAGCTATCTCGACAAAAAAGATAACTGATTTTGTATCGCGACTTAAAGATATCTCGTCATGTAAAGATAGCTATTGAACAAAATACGATAGCTTATCTTGACTGGACAAGATGTAAAGTCGGTGTTTGTCGCCAAACCAGAAAGTTATCATGACTTGACGAGATAATTATCTTGCCTTGACATGATATGTTATGCTGACAAAAAATATGTTAATGGCATAAATATACCACCATAAAAAGGCATCACACTGTAGGGTCTGTGAAGAGCACAAACTGTTTTTGGGGTCATTAAGATACCATTTCATATACATATTCTGTCCAAATTTACAAGGATACTAGATGCGCCAATTTTATAGTACATCTATTTTTGTATTCATATGAAGCAGAATTTATTCTTAAACTTATGCAATGGGCGAAACCGTCACGGTAGTTCAGTCAGTAGAGCGTTTATT